TATAATACCCCCTCCTCGACGCTTATTGACAACTCTATCAATTCAAAACACCCATCCAGGCTATTACTCAACCTCCAGAAAGCACCCCTTCCTTTCTCCCAACATTCTCCTCTCCATCTCCGACTGCAAAGTCCTCTTCAATGTCTACCCCCTCTTCCCTTATTATTACTCTTCATCCTTATTGTCCCCCCCCTCCCCCCAACAGAACTCTCTACTCCATACCACCCAATCTTCCTCTTACCCTTGTCTTTCTAGTGCCTCTACCTCTGCAAACCTTTTGAGAACTTTCTTTAGCCAGCCAAGTGAGATCGATTCTTTGTGATCCCGCCACAGCCCCTTAATCTGAGAATACCCTTCTCTTTCAACAGTGCCTCCAGAAACAAGTAGGCAAGGTTACCTTTAGCAGTCGCTCTGATCATTCACACCTTGTCACAGTTACATCTGAATCCCAAGCTAGTGCACTATCTATTCAAACTGACCTCACTGCTGAACCTCACCCTTCTCATAATACTTGTACTGGAACTGTTTCTATCCCCCCAAATACATGTCCTATCCAGAACAAGGACTGGTCAGACTGTGAAAATAACCTACTTACCTACCTTGCTGATTATGATGAAGTGGCAATACAGTGTTATACTATTCCTCCGAGAGGCCAGTGTAAGTCCCATGTCAATATTGCTAAGATCAACTTCTGTAGACATGACCTCCCCCATAAAGTTATATTGGTGGATTGTCCTACCATGTCTGACCATATTGACCCCTTCCTTGTCAATGTTAGAAATGTTGGCATTTTGGCCACCCAGCCAAACATCATTGCTCCACAGCCCGCTGCCCTCTATGTGCCCAACCTATAAGCTCAAATGTGAGGTAGCAGTCCTCAGATTCAAACTAGGCCTCACACTTCGTGAGGCTAGACAGGGAGCACGACGATGAGGTTTTTTTCTCTGAACTTATTCCAGAACAGTTTTGCTCCCCTTCCATCTTCATAAGATGTTTCTGCATCTCCCCCAGTATCTCTTCCCTGTAGCCTAACCCATCCTATGTTTAATCACCATATCCCCCAGTCAAATTTGTTTTCTAGTCTAGATCCAAATACTCCTATATCCACCACTTCCCCGATACCTACCCCTCCTCCTCACTTTATTTGTTGCACCAGGCAACCTAAAGCTTCTTCTCTACCCTCTCCTACTACATCCTCTCCTACACCTTCCTTTTCTGCTCCTCAAATATCTATCTCCTCTTCTCTGCATAAGAGGACCTTTGTTCCTCAGTCCTCTTCACCCAACTTCCTTCCAGAAACCCTTGAAGACAGCCAAAACTTCCCCTAAAAATAATCCAAGAGAATACTATGCTTCCTTACCCCCCCCCCCCCCAAATCCCTCTGTTCCTACTCCTTCTACACTAAAAATATTTGCAGATATCCATCCTCCTCCTCCTCAAGTTCCCTCCTACACCCTCCTAACTCACCCCACCCTCTCCACCAATCCCACTTGAATCCCCTTTGTCACAACAGTGTCCTTCTCCAGACCCCTCCCTTCCAGACATTCTTCCTGATACTTCACCACCTTCCCCAGTCCCCATTTCTCATCCCCTGGATTCTTCTCCAACAGCCACCTCTGTTTCCTTGAACAATGTCCCTATTCGTTCCACAGTCACAGATACACTGCAGTTCACTCAGTTTCTCTACCCCCCTAACCTTTCCCATTTTATTAATCCCTGCTCTGCACTTTTCCCTTTTCATTACCATACTTTCCTATAATACTCTTTCGCCCACTTTGTTAGAATTGTGGGATGCCTGACCCAATTAAAATTTGTATATAAAAACATGCATATACATAGAAATAAATGTATATCCTTCTATCTATCAGATATATATACTTATCTATCTATCTCTATGGTAGATATGCATCTATTTCAGTGTATAAGCATGTCCGCATAATGAATGTTCATTGGGTTGGGCTTCTCACAACTTTAACAACCCAGCTGTTTGACATCAAATATCCCCATCCCTCCCCGGATTCTTCTCCTATTGTTCCAACAGCCATCTCTGTTTTCCTTGAACATTGTTCTTATACCTTCCCCAGTGACAAATACACTGTAATTCACTCAAATGCCCTACCCCCTTAACCCTCCCCTTCCTACTAATGTCTGCTCTAGTTCAGTGACTCCCCTCTTTTGCCTATTCACTACCATACTATCCTATAATGCTCTCTAATCTTTGACATCTAACACACTTTATCCTAATCTTTAACTTCTCTTTACCCTTTCTGACACAATACTTTCCCAAATTAAATTGTTGAATAAATTTTGTGACATGGAGTTGGGGACTTTGTCTCTGACGTGTGTGTCCATACTGTAAAGAATTACCATTTCAGTACTCAAGTGATTGTCATGACCTATAAGACATTACAAAGGTCTGGAAACATCCATTCATGGGTGTCATTTTAGGGGGGGCAGTCACTGCTCCCCCAAGGGCTACACTTACTTTTTTTTTCTTCTTCCTTTTTTCCCCTAAATTACAACTTTATAACTTGAGATGGGAGTGATCCCCATTTCACAGTGCCCCAGAAGCTGATTGTGCTCACTTTACTCTCCACCCTTCCTCCCCTCCCAAGAGAAAGCTGAAATGGTACTCCTGTATCCATTGCATATATTTTGACTAGGTAGAGAGTAAACTTGTTCTTGATTTAACCTTAAATTGGCAGGGTTTAAATGATCTTTCTAGCCAGAATATATTTAGTGAAGGATTGTTGGTCAATTGTCCAGACGATGACTGCATCAAGTATTACTGTTGTTTCTGAACTATATGGATGACAAATTTTCACCAAGAATATTTGGCAAGATGGAGCTTGGAATTGCAACATATTTTGATGATATACCCCCTACACACATTTAATTTTTGAATGATTAGAGGTTAACTTTAACTATTTTATTGATGTGACATTTATTGGGCAAGCATTAGTTATTAGTCATATTCATGTTTTTTATTATTATTTATTTATTATTTATTTTTTATTATTATTGTTTTTTATTTATTTATTTATTTTTTCTTTTTCTTTCTTTCTTTCTTTGCAAAGGAGCTTTTCCTGAAGTCATGTTTCTTAAGAATCATCCTCATTTTCTTATGGTTAAAATGTCTCAAAGGATGGTTTGTGTTCACAGGACTACAAAATTTAGAAGGATGGGGAAGGTTATGTCTGCACTTGGCCGTAGAGTAACAAAACCAATTAGAGACTTCAATGTAGAGAGCAGAGCACACCGAGAAATCACAAAGGAGAAGCGGCCAGTAGCACCAAGGCATGAATCCACAAGACTGATCATAGAGGAATCCATTAAAAGTAAGAGACCAGTTACCCCCATCCTCCAAGTTCTTCCTCTCTACTTTTTATTATCATCCTCTTCTTCTTCCTTTCTCAACTCCATCCTGTACTCCTTAGATGAAAATTTAAAAACACTAGGCCATTGTGGACCTGTTGTATCCATTTTCTTGCACAGGGAAAAGATATCCTGGATAAAATCTTTTATACTGAAGGGTATGTAGTGTGTGCAATGGTATAGAATGCCATTGGAAAGGGATGATTATTTTAGCGACATGTATGGATGTGGTTCAAAAAGTAAATAATTAATTTTGAAACAGTATTTTTAAACCCATAATTTTGTCATGTCCTTGGATAGCATCATAATTGCCTGCCGTTTATATATAAAGTTATAAGGTAATTTTAAGTCTGTTTAATTGACACATGCTAGATCAGCCTGAGGAGGTGAAGAAGAGTCTTGAGAAGAAAGATGATATCTTGCTGAATAGACTGAAGCAGATCTATGTCACTTCAGAGGATCCAATGGTGAGTATTGTACATACAAAGGTAACTGAAACACTAAGATATTTGATAATATTTGAAAGAAGGAAAAAAAAAACAAGCCTTTAATGTTTTTATTTTTTTTCATATAGAAGAGAGAGATTAGCAATCTTTCCAAGTTGAGTCCACTCAAAAAAGATGTACAGTATATTTAATTTTCTCTTTTAATTCATTTATTTGTATATATTTCTGTTTTTGAGCAATCTGCAGTCATAGTTTGCTTATTTACCCAAAGTAAAAGAAAAGAAAGAGAGATAAGAGTAAAAATATATATTTACATTCACATGCTTAAATACATTTGTATGTGTACATAAATACATACATACTTTTCTCATCCTTTTAAGTTATTCATGAATAAAAGGTGAAACAAATAGATAAACAAAGAGTGGAAATAGGGGAGCGATTTTTTTTTTGCTTAGCTGATTCATCATTTACAGACACAGCAGCTACTCTTAACTATTATAAGCAAATCAGTGTTAACCATTGTAAAACCATATAATATGCGTAAATCTCCAGATATACCTAGAATGGACTATTAAATTTAATTTGTATTGCACATCTATTGCTGTTTGAGGAGTCTGACTTTTCTTATTCAAGGTCCAGTTGAGCATATTTCTTTTTGAATCAACTTCTTTATTTGGGGAAAAATGAGAATGAAAGGTATAAATGAAAGTCATTGTTTCATAGTTTATCATGTATTGGGTTAGTGTATTGTTTCATTCATCATAAGAAACATACATCATAGTATTACAACTTCCATATCTGTTATGTATGGGGGAGTGTCGCATAATCATTACCTTTTCAATTGTAATGATAAATCGGTTTCTTTCAGCCTTGGAAAGCTTATTAATTTCAGTTAGAATGAATCTTAATTTATTTTAAACTGATTAATAAAAATAATTACATGAAGCTTTTTCTGGTCTTTGAAGTTCCCAATGTTGTTTTTAGAGATAGTACCTTTATTTAACCAACTTTTCATTGCCTCTAGCTTACAAAGGAAATCCCTGACAACCCAGAACGATCACTACCGTCAGATCGTTCATTTGTAGCAGACCCTGAGTATGGCTTTTATGAACCAAAAGTAAGTAATTGTTTTACTACTTGTCCAAAACATTGATTGTGAAATCTACATTATTATTGGACATTGCCTTTAAGAGTATAAATTTTATTAAATTTGTTGTTAGAGATAATCTGCCATATAATTGAATATTGAATGTTTATTAGTGAAATTACAGTCTTAAATGAAGGAATCAGTCATCAAAAGTGAGTCTGCTCTGAAAATGTGAACGACTTGTTCTTGATGGACTTTTTCCAAAAAATGAAAAGTTAAAGTTGAGGCTTCATATAGATTTTGGTTAATTCCTATACAGAAGTCTTCATATTATTTTTCCCCCTCTCTTCCTTCCTTTTTTGGTTTAATTGTTAATTGATAATCAGCATGAACTTTTATGAATGGGGTTGAGAGGTAATGCTTCCTACATTAATTTATAAATATGAATTTGATGCCTTTGTAAAATGGAGAATATTTAATTTTTAGGCAGTGCCATATGGGAAGATAACTCTCAGAAATGCACTACATGCAATAGGAATGCACCAGCAAGATCCTGAGCAATGGACAGCAAAGAAAATTGCTTATGAATATAAATTAGATGAAGGACTGACAGGTAAGGCAATTCCTTCCTCCAAATAAAGGTTAATGTATGCTGTAAATTATTTATTGTCACCCTTGCATTTATTCTGAATATTTTCTATAAAAATGTGTTTATATCATAATGAGCAGTTCCACTTGTATTGCAGATAGTGATCATAGATTCTTAAACCATTGTACCCAGACTGCATAAATTAACAAGTTGGCCAAAGTATAGGCAGTCTGTACCTGAGCAGGCATTTATAAGATTACATGGTGCTCTTTTAGTGATTTCACCCTTTATTCACTTGACCAACAGCTACATTTTGAGATTAAGGTGCAATGAGACAAGACATAACTTTTGAGGAAGGTAGAGGAAGGGATGGTAATAATCTTTATTCAGTCTCCTCATTTTCCTGGCTTACACAGACAAAAATGCAGTTATAAACTTGGATGAAATTTTGCCTTCAGAACATTAAGAAATAACAAAGAATTTTTTTTCCACCAATAGTACCCACAGGGGAATTTTAAGGATTTTCAACCACCAGCAGTTTTGGGGTGGTTCTGGAAAAACAATTGCTTGTGAATGATTGTTAGTTGGTCATTCAATAAGTAAATAATTTGTATAACAAGAAGACTTTGATAACAGAGATACATAGTATAATGTTGTCTGTGGAAAGGGAAGGTTACAGATCTATTTTTGTTATACAGTAGTTGAGTAAAGTAGTCTGCATAGTCTCTGAAAGAGAATAACTAGGATTAGGTTGATGTACATTTGTCATCAGCATGACTATTTGCTTTATTGGCAGATATGAAAATTACAAAAGTTTTATGTCAAATATTTGAAAATACTGTGTGGATTAGCATATTGGTGCAGATGAAACAAAGTTCTAAAACCTTTCCTAGATCATGGAATTTCATATAGGGTAAGAGTACCTTAGACTACATATGGATACTAGTGTAGTCCAGAATATCTTTTATGAGGATAGAGTCTTGTATATAATTTTTAGTTTTAAGTGTTAGATTTTGTTTTGAAGTTACATATAACTCAAATATGTCTCTTTTTCCTGTCACAGAGAAGGTACTTAGGCACTTCCGCACATTTGTTTTGATAGTTCCGGATGATGCCAAAAAGAAGAGAATTACTCCAGAGGTTTTAAGATCTACTCCCTTAATTGCACCACATTCTATTAAACAACTGCCTGCTAGTTCCAGTAATGCAGCTGAGAAAGATGAAAAGGCAAGTTGATAGTCCATAAAATATAAAATTGTAGTTGCAGTATGAAAATATATCCTTTGTGGTTGTCAAGTAGGCCTTTATGTGGCCTGATGATAAGAAAGTTTGCAGGGATCCAAGTATACATAATGGCAGGATTTTATTAACCCCTTACTGACGGGTATGGCTATAGCTGTCATGACATACTGATGTATGACATGTATACATGTCATGACTCACTCTAGTGAGTGAGCAGGTAGGCCGGCTGTACTGTACACAGCACACACCTTTCTAGAAAAGTTAGACTGTTGCGTAATAATTGTCACAGAAAATTCTGGCCCCATCATGATGGGGTTAAACTCTGAAAAGAGAGTTAAGGGATTCAGGTACTATAATCTTTTTTATTTTCTTATTCTATAGCATTTTCTTTTATTGTTCATGGCCATTTTAATTATCAAGTTTTGTAAGCTACTGTTTGTATATAATTCTCATAGGTTACCATTTGAAATACCCTGATAACTCTCTTGACATATTTATCTAAACAGAGATTCAAGTTAATATCTGTCTTAAAATTTTGTGTGACAAATTTCAGTCTTATTTGAATTATTATCTCTATGCCTGTATATATAAAGTTTATAATAAAATCTTTGAAAAAATTTTGTGTCAGTTATTTTTATAAAACCAAGTAATTGATGCATTGAGCCATTCACAGCTTTGTTTGCCAGTCGCCACACTTTATTTATTAATTAGTTGATAGTTATATAACATGCTGTATATATTTCAGCCCCTAATATCCATATTTGAAGAAAAACTGAAGTGAAGTTCTGCAGTTCAATGGTCGATACATCAGTAATGGATATATAATGACATATAAAGGGAAAGTTTATATTGACATATAAAGGAGTAAGTTTTCATGTGTATAAAGATGACTGTTTATCATCTGAATTTGGACTTAATGTAGTACTAACACACAAATTATGAACCTATTTAGATGAAATTATATCCTTCAATCCAGAAAATAAAATATAAGCTTCAGATCTGGCTTACAGTTTGAATAACAAAAAAATTTGAGTAATAAATGGTAACTTTCGACTAAATGAAGAACCACAAACTGTGTTCCAGAAATCTGTCCTAAAATCCAGTTACTTTAGTAAAGGTTTGACATATTGTGATATTTTATCCTTACAGCCAGTAAATTTGGGAAGATTTTCACCCAAGAAAGAAAGAAAAAAAAGCCTATATCAAAGGTAATGATACAGAAAATGAGAAAGACATTATATTAAAGACATGAGTCATAAAAAAAATTGCAGTAAAATAAATCAAAAAGACAGTTTATGTTTGTCATACATTCACAATTTAAAGGCACCATTGCTGCTTAATCTTGATGTTATCATTATATTTTACCATTCAAAATAAGGTTGCAAAGCAAAACCTTCTATGATGATGATGATAGTGATAATAATAAAAATGATAATTATCGTGATAATAATTACAATATTAATTATAATTAAAATAATACAAAAAATAACAAAAAACAACACTGGCAACCATACTCCAAAGGAAAGGGGAATGTAATAAACTGTAAAATGATCACACCTAAAAGAAAATTTGACAAAAATATTGGAATGAAATATCAATTTGAGCAGAGGTACTGAAGAGGAAGAACACTTGGGTAACCACAGTGAAGGGAATGAAGATTAGGCATATATGTATACATGTGTGCACACTAGCATGTACTGCCAATGCACTTACACTTGTTGTATACCTAACAATCTTTTCTAAATGGATGACAGGTTATAAGATAAAGGAACAGCAATGTATTAGAACTTTAAAATTCTTCATATGGTTTTAAACAAAAGTAATTAATAATTAGGGTGTTCCCATGCAACTTAATATATATATATATATATCTCCAAAGATAAAAGAATTATATATATACTGTATATATATGTGTGTATATTAGGCAATAACAAAAAATATAATATAATGATAAACATTTTATGACCACCCCATAACAAAGAGCAGAAATAACACCTAAATAATAACAAATATTAAAAAATTGGTGATTCTGTTGGACATTTTCTCACTATTAGCTAATATGAAATGGTGCATGAATATTATATTTGTCAGTATATCACTGAAGTCTTGGGGTTGAGCATTTTGGACTGAATATTTGTGCCTTTTCATTTCACTTTACCATTTTGAGTCTTGACCACAGAAAAGCTGAAATATGTTTATCATTTCTGTGGCACTATTCTTACAAAAAATTGTATTAAATGTTCATCACAGATACAATTGTGCTGAATACATTTTATGAGAAAGCTATGGTATTGTGCCTCTGTCCTGGGAGGACACTATAGCAAGAAAACAGCACGTGAAAATTATAATTATGGATCTTGCTTAATATTTCAAAATTTCACTCATAGAAAGCAGACAAAAACATGGAACAACTAAATTTTCCATCAGCTCCTAATAATATTTCTACATCAACTGATAATTAGGGTTGTCTAATAATAGTTTCCATTGCTTAAAACAGCAATCACATCCACACAAGTAAGTTCTGGAACTATAATTGAAGAAGCATTGATTCATTTATACAGTATATAAAGAAAACATGTTCTTATCTACGTCTGACATGTGCCCCATTGCTTGGGGAAAAAAATATTACCATTACCTCAGTATTTCCAGTCCTTTGAAAATATATTCAACAGTTCACACCTTAGTTACTTATTCAGTTCACTTTTAACAGTCACATCTCTGCTAAATTTCAACATATCTTTTCAAGTGTTTGCTTTTATTTTATTTGTTAAATATCTATGTTGACTGTTTATAAGAGAAGAGAACATTTTGAAATGATCAAACCCACAACAGAGAATTTGTAAGTAGTTTTTTCTAATTCTGCTAGATATAAATTGTTTAAAAAATCATCACACCACACTTTACATATTGTTTGTCCACAACCACTTCAAAATGAATTCTTCATGTAAAGGTCATCAAAATCTCATTGAAAATGGCATATTCAATCATCATATGTCTCCACTGCATAATAAATTAATGCAGATAGAAAACTTCTCATATACTTAGACTATTTACGCTATTGATATTGTGTTCCACTTCATAAGCTTGTCACTGAGAGCAATCACTGTACAGCATCAGATATTTTTAACAACCAAGCACAAAATAAAATATATCACTCTTCAAGAAAACTCTCTGGGGTGACAAACTGCCAATCAGAAATGAAAGGATCAGAGTCCTGTTCTTCCACTTCACTTCTGCTGGGCATTTGTCCACTATCATCCTCTCCCCAGACATGTGTGTGAAATTCATCACTTGCTGAATGCCATCGCTCCTCTTCCTCTTCCTCCTCCTCTTCCTCATCTTCCTGATTGTTGTCACTTTCTGCTCGTTGACCTATCATTGCAAGGAAATTTCCAAATGTTAGCATTGGGCTGGCACCAACACCATCACTGGTATCGTCACTTTCACTCACTGGATCCTCATCAATCTGACCAAACAATGCCTGAATGTTGCTAAGTGAAAATGCTGGGTTGGTGGCACTAGCAATGTCATCCTCCTCCTCTTCCTCCTCCTCTTCATTTAGCTCTAGTTCTACAGGCATATCAACTGCATCATCATTATCTTCCTCCTCCTCTTCTTCCTCTTCCTCGTCTTCATCTTCCTCTTCCTGTTCCTCTTCCTCATTGCCCTCTTGATTGTAGTAATCCCCATTTACTTCTGGTCCAACAGCCATTGTATTCTCCATAAGGTAATCCAAAAAATTTCTGATGTTATTCCTGCAAAGAACATAAATATGAATTAGAAAAAACCCAGAGCAGTGCTCCTCAAAAACTACAATTAATAAGATATCTGATTTGAAAATGGCATATAACCTGTAACCTCATACCAGTTTGTTTTGTCTTTGACATTACTCATAAACTTGTAAGTAAGTCAAACCACTTATTCCTAAAAGCCATCAACATCAGAGATTTTGTAAAAAAATAAAAATAGTTAAATCAAAGACCAGAGGATATCACAGTCACCACATAAAAAATGACACAAAAAGTTACGGGACTCTCGCAAACTTCAGATCATGCTAAATACATCAGCTATTAACTTTCAGTGGTCACACCTTCCTACACCACCATTCTCAATTTCATCACAGACAAAACATTCTCAAATGGACTAAAGAGGCTTCACAGGAATGAAAGCTGCTCAATCATCCTTCTGCTTCATTTCGTATTAATGAACATGCACTTATCAGTGAATTTCAGGGCTGAGCAGTTTGGAGCAAATATTTGTGCCTTTTACTCTCACTTCATATTACCATGAGGAAATACTTGTGCCTTACCATCTTACTTCATATTACCATCTGCACCTTATCATCTCACATTACCATTGTTTTGATTACAAAAAAATCAAATACCGTGTCTTAGTCTTGAGCAGCATAATTATTGGCAAAATCCATCTGTTGAATGTTGAACTTAGAGTGAGCTTGAACATATGGATTCCTCATATTTTCGAAGAACTATTCACTTGATATACAAGTTTTTTTTTTTTTACAGACCCTTCACATATCTGAAAGGCTATGCAACTACAAAAATGAAAAATGTACCTCTACAGTATTTCAGGTTGCACTCATTGCTTGGTGCTAATATAACAAAATGCAGGAATGGTAGGAACTGCCAGGCACACAGCCTGTGCAGTTGGATATGAGGTCATGAATAAAAATGTAAATATGTTTGCCTACTGTTTTCATACCATTTTTTTCTGTGTCATCTTTTTATTGTAGTGACTGTATTTGTAATTCTTGCTTGTGATAGATATAGTAAGAAACTGCTTCACTTAATAAATATTTACCATTATTTGTGAATTAGTACTAACAGTATGTATACTCTTTTGAAATTGTCCATAATACCCAATGATTATGTTGAATATCATCTTTGACAAATCAATGTAAATAATGAAGTTGCTTTAACATCTATAAATGATATTAGTAGAAAACTAAACTAATAGAAATATATTGGCCAAAGCCTTAAAGAAGAATTCAGATCTTTGAATCTGTACACTACCAACACTAAAACAAGGACTCAGTCATACAGTTACAACATGAAAATCCAAGCATAGTATACTTGATAACTGTGTATAACATATATACATCAACAAGGTAAATCCACAGGTAATTTTTAACCCACTGGCAATGGGTGACGAATCTCAAGTCATTGTGAATAATCAGACGATGGGTGATGCTTTATCATTTCAGGAGTCTGTGTCCCAACATCTAGGATGTCCCTTGTGCCCTGACAAAAGCTGGACAATTGCTCGGCCGCAGAGCAGCATATACTAATAAGCATCCATACTCGCCAAATATCAGGAAAAAAAAAGTCATATTAATACTGAGTTAACAATGAGCCATGTGATAAAAGTATCTAAAGGTTGCCCATCAACCATCAAGCATTATACTATGTACCTACATATAGTAAACAAGATGAGTTCATGAAATGGTGTAGAAGTTTGACTAAAAGCAGATAAGAAAGGTTCCTATTAGTTTGGAAGTTTGTGAAATACTCCTAGGAGTTTTGTTTAAACCAGTAAGAGTAAATGAAATGTTTGTCAGTTCTAAACAGCTGTAAGGATTTCTTCTTTACTTGTTTATCATTATTTTATCATCATTTTCAATTATTTCTGCACTATTGAATGATGTTTAATTTCACAAATCCACATAGTTGTTTTTCTGGCATTCCTTGACAGCATTCATCACGTTGGCAAAGTAGAGCATGGCTGCCAACTTAACTGTTCACTTCTCTTTGCAGCACTGAGAAAAGTTTCCTTATACTGTCCTGTTGTGCATCTAATGTAGTGATAATGTTCATGGAATCCTTGAATGTCTTGAATTTTCTTGATACTTAAAATAAATGTTTTCAAAAAATAGAATGAGATATCATTATAAAGCACTTCTTTCTTTTTTCAACTTTTATACATGATAAAAACATTTTGATAAACTAGGTAAAAATTCTATTGTGGCATTTTAACTACTGATTACTCTTTAAGGATTTCTATCCTTCTGTAGTAATTTTTCCAGTCATATTCATTTTTCTTAATTTTTGATGCTATAACTATTATAATTCTTCCACCTCCAGACATGTAAGTAATACACTGATATTTCTTGTGAAAAATACTTCACTCTGTAATTTTCTGCAACTCATATATTTTCTCTTTTTAGTGATTTCTAGTCTGGTGAATATAACTTCAATATGCACAATCATACAGATCTTTTAACACTTCATTTTTCAAGCTTTATCATAAAATATTAAACTAGTAATACGAAGGACTCCCTATCATTCATTATTCTTTCCCCAGTTTCCTTTATTTCACTGCAACTTCTAATATTACTGGAACTCTGTAAAAATTATTCAAACAAAACTTATTCACATTAGGACTATCTGACAGATGATAAACATTTCCTTATATGAATTCATACTGAAATCTGTAATGTAAAGATCAAATACATTTTTGCCTTACAACTTCTGACATCAAGAATTTGCTTCCTATGATACCTACTCTCATTTTATGCTTTGATAGGGAATTTAAATTTATTAAACCAAGATATATAAATTGGTCAGTTTAGCCACACAGAAGCTTCAAAATCTGCAAGCAGACTATAAGCTCCTCAATTGGATTTCAGCTAATCAAGAAAAAGTTTCATCTATTGTTTATGTACTTGAAGATCGACTTCAGTACCTAAATGACAGGATTAGCTGTGAAAGATTGAACTTTTTTACTGCCTAACTTCAACCAAGCTTGCATCAGACAGCCTAAAAGCTTCTCACAGACAGACTGTATTCTTCAAGATGGCTGGGCATGAATATTGCTTGCCTACTTGTGTCTCCCGAGATCAAGATGCTCTCCACTACTTCTTCATATGTTCCCAAGAAATTCCTGGATCTGGAAGAAGAACCTCCCTACCATAGAGGTATTGAATTAGTTCTTGTAATTCAGGCGATAATCTTAGATAAGGGCAGGGGCTCTTCTTGGATCTTTCTGAGTCTTCTTACTTCTGGAGAAACGTGAACTCAATCTAGACATACCACACCATCTAATCCTGACAAGTTTTTCATTTTGCACAAATATCCTTCCTTTCTGTCTTTTGGTCTACAAAAACTTATTTTCATACAGACTTCAATCAAGTGCGATATAGATATAAACTAAGAATTTCCATTCTCTCAAGTATACACTTGGAGAATTAATTCTATGAAAGGGTTGCTCTAGTGGCTTCTCCACTAAAAGTGCTTTGATTTTTCTTTAGTAACTTTTTTCCATAAAAACTATGAAAATGGTCAAGTTGGAAATTTCTTATCTGTGCTTAGACTTTTACATGTAGTATTTAAAATATATTTCTGTATACTTTCACTCTTAACTTTTTCCTTTAGTTTACACATTACAACAATAAAAATGCACTGTCTGCTTCTGACCGTAAACATTCTTAAAAATCAATTAAAGTCAACCAAAGCTCACCTTGCATAAACATCTCCTGCTGGGACCTGCACTTCAGCTGAATGAGCCGGCTGGTTTGTTGAATCGTCATTGCTCTCAATGGTTTTGTCACCTTCCTCATCCCAGCTTGAAACAGGTTTTATTTCACTTCCTATATCAGGCACACTGGAAACAAAGCACACTGTAAGCTTGGTGAGGTTGCAAAAACATACAGCAGTTTAACTGAATGACTTATAACCTTTTGTATTTAACCTTCTTAAACAACAATCTGTAATTCTTCAATCAAAAGGGTAGGGTATTTCCCAAAGCTTTAAATTGAGAATGGAAAGGAGAGGAGAGAGAATGAATGAAAGAGAGAGAGAATGAAACAGAGAAAGAATTAAATACATAGAGAATGAGAGAATAAGAGAGAGAGAGAGAATGAGAGAACAAAAGAGAGAGAAGGAATGAGATAATGAGAGAATGAAAGAGAGAGAGAGAATGAGAGAGATAGAGATAGATTGTAAGAGGCGATGACCTCCTATATAGATTGAATACTGGTGGATAGTAGTGATACACCGACGTGACTTCACACTTTATTAATAACACTAATGAAACACATATGATAATAATAAGGCGATACGAAGAGCACAATATACTGGTGGTCAGTGCGGAGTGTAAGCCAGGCCTATCCACCAGAGAGGCAGCGCTACGGCTGGCCACGAGTGTGAGGTCGCTCTGGTAAGCGAGTGAGGGTGCACAAGACCTACCCTGCTGAGGGCAGGCTTGCTGAGGGTGTGAGACCTTGGGTCAGGCCGGGTTAGTGTTTATATCCTGAACCGTGGGCGTGGCGGTGGCATGGCGAACTCACCACATGGACTGCTATACTCACACACCGTGCTAGCTCATTCCGAGAGGGAGCACTCACGTGGTGTTGGGTTTGCATTATGATTGCAGGACTATGCAGTATGCTATATAGAGAGATAGATATACACACAGAGAGAAATGAAAATGAGAGAATAAAATAGAGAGAGAATGAGAGAATAAAATAGAGAGAGAGAATGAGAGAATAAAATAGAGAGAAGAGAGAATGAGAGAATGAAAGAGAAGAGAGAGAATGACAGAATGAAAGAAAAAGGGAATGAGAGAATGAAAGAGAGAGAGAGAGAATGAGAGAATGAAAGAGAGAGAGAGAGAATGAGAAAATGAAAGAGATAGAGAATGAGAGAATGAAAGAGAGAGAATGAGACAATGAAAGAGTGAAAGAGACAATGAGACAATGAAAGAATGAAAGAGACAATGAGAGAATGAGAGAATATAAGAGATAGAGCATGAGAGAGATACAGATAGATACTTAGATAGATAGAGGAAGAGACAGAGAATGAGGGAGAGAGAGAGAGAATGAGTGTGACAGAGAGGAGAGAGATAGAGAGAGAGAGAGAGAGAGAGAGAGAGAGAGAGAGAGAGAGAGAGAGAGAGAGAGAGAGAGAGAGAGAGAGAGAGAAGAGAAGAGAGAGAGAGAGAGAGAGAGAGAGAGAGAGAGAGAGAGAGAGAGAGAGAGAGAGAGAGAGAGAGAGAGAGAGAGAGAGAGAGAGAAGAGAGAGAGAGAGAGAGAAGAGAGAGAGAGAGAGAGAGAGAGAGAAGAGAGAGAGAGAGAGAGAGGAGAGAGAGAGAGACAGAGAGAGAGAGAGAGAGAGAGAGAGAGAGACAGAGAGAGAGAGAGAGAGAGAGAGAGAGAGAGAGAGAGAGAGAGAGAGAGAGAGAGAGAGAGAAGAGAGAGAAGAGAGAGAGAGAGAGAGAGAGAGAGAGAGAGAGAGAGAGAGAGAGAGAGAGAGAGAGAGAGAGAGAGAGAGAGAGAGAGAGAGAGAGAGAGAGAGAGAGAGAGAGAGAGAGAGAGAGAGAGAGAGAGAGAGAGAGAGAAGAGAGAGAGAGAGAGAGAGAGAGAGAGAAGAGAGAGAGAGAGAGAGAGAGAGAGAGAGAGAGAGAGAGAGAGAGAGAGAGAGAGAGAGAGAGAGAGAGAGAGAGAGAGAGAGAGAGAGAGAGAGAGAGAGAGCAGAGAGAGAGAGGAGAAAGAGAGAGAGAAGAGAGACTAGAGAGAAAGAATGAAAGAGAGAGAAAGAGAATAAGAGAATGAAAGAGATAGATACAATGAAAGAATCAAAGAGGATGAGAGATTGAGAGAATAAAAGAGAGAGCATGAGAGAGATGGAGATAGAGATAGATAGAGAAAGAGAGAGAGAAAAATGAGAATGGAGAGAAAGAGAGAGAGAGAGAGAAATGAGAATGGAAGAGAAAGGGAGAAAGAGAAAGAGATAGAGAGAATGAGAAAATAAAAGAGAGAGAAATAGCCAGATAGATAAAGAGAGAAAAAACACAGAGAGAGAAGATATGAAAGAGATAAATAAACTCCCTGCTTCACTCTGTCCTCACCTAGTCACACACTCCCCTTGCCTCACTCTGTCCTCAAGGTCAGCACTCCCCTGGCCTCACTCTGTCTATCACCTGGTCAGCACACTCCTGCTCACTCGTCCGCCACCTGGTCACGCACTCACTGCCTCACTCTGTCCCACCCTGGTCATGCCACACCTGGCTCAGTCATCCTGGTCACGCTCAGTCACATCTAAAAGCAACATCCCCTCATCTCAACTCGTCCTCACGAGTCACGCACTCCCCTCGTCTCACTCTGTCCTCACCTGGTCAGTAACACTCACCTGCTTCACTCTGATCACTCACGCTGTCACCACTCCCCCAGCACAACAATCACACCTCACTCTGCCCTCACACATGGTCACACACTGCACCCTGCTTCACTTCTGTCCATCACGGCTGTCACACACATTCCGCACCCATGAAACTTATCACTCTGCTTTCCTACACTCTGGTCACCACTCGCCCCCTCCGGCCTCACTCTGTCCTTCACCTGGTCACGCAGCATTTCCCCTGCCTCACTACTGTCCTCAAACCTGGTCCCAACAGCACCCCATTCGCCTCACTGTCCTCACACCTGGTCATGGCAGTCCCCTTGCGCTCACTCTGTCCTCACCTGGTCACAGCACTCAACCTGCTATCACATCTGTCCTCACCTGGTCACAACACTCCCTCACGCTTCACTCGTCCTCACCTGGTCAACACTCCTGCCCTCCGCCTCCTCTGTCCTCACTACTGGTCATGCAATCCGCCTGCCTCACTCTGCTCCTCAACTGGTCACGCACGTCCCTCGCATCACTCTGTCCTCACACAGGTCATGGCCTCTACCTCACCTCTACTCTGTCCTCACCGGTCCATGCACTCACCCTGCCTCACTCTGTCCTCACCTGTCACCACACTCCTCGCCTCACTCTGTCCTCTACATGGTCACGCACAATCCGTATCGGCGTGGGATAGGAGTCCCCTCGCCATCACTCTGCCTCACACTGGTAACAGCATTCACCACTGCCACACTCTGTCCTCACGCTGGTAACGCACTTCCCCACGCCTCACATTTCCGGACCTGGTCACAACAGCACACTCCCCGCTTCACTCTGTCCTCACCTGGTAACACACTCCTCGCCTCACATCGCCTCAACTGAGTAGCGGCACTCCTGCCTCACCTGGTCAACACACTACAACCCTAGGCTTCACTCTGTCCTCACCTGTGCACGACACTCCCCGCCTACTCTGTCCTCACCTAGTCATGCAACTTCCCACTGCCTCACTCTGTCTTCACATGTGCACATTCCTCTCGCCTCACTGTCCTCACATGGTCACACACCACGAGCGCTGCTTCACTCTGTCCCACCTAGGTAACGCCACTCCCCCTCGCCCACTGTCCTCACACATGGTCAAACGAGGCCACTCATCGCTTATTTGTCCTCACCTGTCACACTCCCCCCTCACCTCACTGCTGTCCTCACCTGGTCACGCACTCCCGCCTTCGCCTCGCTCTCTTCAACCTGGTCACACACTCCTCGCCTCACTCTGTCCTCGCCTGTCCACCCTCCCTCGCTTCACCTGCTCACCTGGTCACGCACTCCCTGCTTCACTCTGTCCCACCTGGTCACACACTCCCCTCCACTCTGTCTTCACCTGTCACACTCTCCCTCACTCTGTCCTCACCTGGTCACGCATCCCCGCCTCGCTGATCCTCACCTGGTCAACAACTCCCTCGCCTCACTCTGTCTCACTAGTCACACACGTCCCCTGCGCCTCACTCTGGTCCTCACCTGGTCACACACTCCCTCACCTCACTTGTCCTCACCTGGTCACGCACTCCCCTCGCCCTCTGTCCTCACCTGGTCACACGCACCTCCCTCGCCCTCACCTCACTTCCTAACCTGTCAACAATTTCTCCCTCGCCTCACTCTGTCCTCACTGGTTACTCCCTCAACTACTGTCCTCACCTGTCATGCACTACACCTCACTCTGTTCCTCACCTGGTCCACGCCTGCTACTGACTGTCCCACATCCTGGTCACACACTCCACCTCCTCTCACTCTGTCCTCAACCTGTCACACACACCCCTCACCTCACTCTGTCCTCACCTGTCAGCACACCCCGCTCACCTCACTCTTCACTCACCTGTCCTCACGACACCACCCCTTCACCTCACTCTGTCTCACGGTCACGCTACTCCAACCCCTCACCCTGTCCTCACCTGGTACACGCACCTCCGCCTCGCTCTCCTCACCTGGTCACGGTCCACCTCCCCTCGCCTCACTCAGTCCCACCTGGTCGCAGTCCCCTGCTTCACTCTGTCCTCACCTGGTCACGCAGTCCCCCCCTGCTCACTCTGTCCCTCACCTGGCACACACTCCCTCGCTTTCTGTCCTCACCTGGTCACACACTCCCACTCGCCTCACTCTGTCCTACACCTGGATCACGCAGTCCCCTGCTCACTCTGTCCTCACCTAGTCACGCACTCCCTCGCTTCACTCTGTCCTCACTGTTATGCACTCACCCTGCTCATTCTGTCCTCACCTGGTCACACACACCCTCACCTCACTCTGTTCCTCACCTGGTCACGCACTCCTCGCCTCGCTATCCTCACCTGGTCACACACTCCCCTCGCTTCACTGTCCTCACTTGGTCACACACTCCCTCGCCTCACTCTGTCTCACCTGTCACGCACTCCCACCCTGCCTCACTCTATCCTCACCTGGTCACGCACACCCCTCACCTCACTCTGTCCTCACCTGGTACGGCACCCCCTCGCCTCACTCTGTCCTCACATGGTCACACACTCCCCTCGCCTCACTCTGTCCTCACCTGGTCACGCACCTTCCCCGCTTCACTCGTCCTCACATGCACACACTCACCTGCTTCCTCTGTCCTCAACACTGGTCACACATACCCCTCACCTCACTCTGTTCCTCACCTGGTCACGCACTCCCTGCCTCGCTGTCCTCACCTGGTCACACAACTCCCCTCGCCCTACACTCTGTCCTAACCTAGTCACACACTCCCTGCCCTCAATCTGTCCTCACCTGGCCATGCACCCCCCTGCTTCACTCTGAGAAATAGCCAGATAGATAAATAGAGAAATTACACAGAGAGAGAATGAGAGAATAAAATAAACCTCCCCCTTGTTCACTCTGTCTCACCTGGTTACACACTCCCCTCGCCTCATCTCTGTCCTCACCTGGTCACACGCACTCCCCCTGCCTCACTCAGTCCTGCTCATGGTCACGCACTGCCCTGCTTCACTCTGTCCTCACCTGGTCACACATTCCACCCTGCTTCACTCTATCCTCACCTGGTCACAAAGCACTCACCCTGCTTCACTTTGTCTTCACCTGGTCACGCACTCCCCTCCCTCACTCTGTCCTCACCTGGTCATACGCACTCACCCTGTCCTCACTTACGCATCTCTCATGTCCCTCACCTGGTCACGCAAGCACTCCCCTCACCTCACTCGTCCCACCTGTCACGCAACTTCCCCTGCTTCACTCTTTCCCTCACCTGGTCACGCACGCACCCTGCTTCACTCTGTCCTCACCTGGTCACGGCACTCCCAACCTCCCTCCTCTCTGTCCTCACCTGTCACGCGCACTCCCCTCACCTCACTTTTCCTCACACTGGTCCGCACTCCCCTCGCCTCACTTTTCCTCACCTGGGCACGCACTCCCTCGCTTCAATACTTACATGGTCACTCACCCCCTGTCCTCACCTGGTCGCATGCACTCTTCCCTGCTTCCACTCTGTCCTCACCTGTCCCCGCACTCCCTCTGATTCACTATGTCCTCACCTGGTCCACACTTTCCATCACCCTCCCTCGCCTCACTCTGTCCTCAACCTGGTCAGGCATTCCCCCTGCTTCACTCTGTCCTCACCTGGTCACGCACTCCCCTCACCTCACTCTTCCTCACCTGACCTCATGCACTCCCCCTGCTTCACTCTGTCCTCACCTGGTCACGCACTCCTCTGCTCACTCTGTCCTCACCTGGTCTGGCCTCACTCGTCCTCACCTGGTCCCACTCCCCCTGCTTCACTCTGTCCTCACCTGGTCACGCACTCCACACACTCAGCCTCACTCGTCCTGCACCTGGTCACACTCCCCTGCGCCTCACTTCTGCCTCACTTGCACACACACTCACCCTGCACTCTGTCTCACCTGGTCACGCACTCCCCCTGCTCACTCTGACCACCTGGTCCCACACCACCCTGCTCACTCTGTCCTCACCTGGTCACACAACCCCCCTCACCTCACTCTGTCCTCACCCTGGTCACGCACTCCCCTCGCCTCATTCTGTCCTCACCTGGTCACACACTCCCCCTGCTTCACTTCCTCCCTCACCTGGTCACGCACTCACCCTGCCTAACTCTGTCCTCACCTGGTCACACACTCACCCTGCTTCACTCTGTCCTCACCTGGTCACACACACCCCTCGCCTCACTCTGTCCTCACCTGGTCACGCACTCCCCTCGCCTCGCTGTCCTCACATGGTCACACACACCCCTCGCCTCACTCTGTCCTCACCTGGTCACACACTCACCTGCTTCACTGTCCTCACCTGGTCACGCACTCCCCTCGCCTCACTCTGTCCTCACCTGGTCACGCACTCCCCTCGCCTCGCTGTCCTCACCTGGTCACACACACCCCTCACTTCACTCTGTCCTAACCTAGTCACACACTCCCCTCGCCTCACTCTGTCCTCACCTGGTCACGCACTTCCCTCGCCAAACTCTGTCCTCACCTGGTCACACACATCCTCACCTCACTCTGTCCTCACCTGGTCACTCCCTCTCCTCACTGTCCTCACCTCACTCTGTCCTCACCTGGTCACACTCCCCTCGCCTCACTCTGTCCTCACCTGGTCACATATTCCCCTCACTCTCCTCTATCCTCACCTGGTCACACATTCCCCTCACCTCTCTGTCCTCACCTGCCATGCACTCCCCTGCTTCACTCTGTCCTCACCTGGTCCACGCACTCCCCTCGCCTCACTCGTCCTCACTGGTCACACATTCCCTCACCTCACTCTGTCCTCACCTGGCAGCACTCCCCTGCTTCACTCTGTCCTCACCTGGTCCCGCACTCCATCTGATCACTATGTCCTCACCTGGTCACACCCCCCGCCTCACTCTGTCCTCACCTGGTCACGCACTCCCTCGCCTCTCTGTCCTCACCTGGTCACGCACTCCCTCATCTCACTCTGTCCTCACCTGTTCACGCACTCACTCACTCTGTCCTCACCTGGTCACGCACTCCCCTCGCCTCACTCTGTCCTCACCTCTGCCTCACTCTGTCCTCACCTGGTCACGCACTCAACTCTGTCCTCACCTGCACGCACTCCCCCTGCTTCACTCTGTCCTCACCTGGTCACGTACTCCCCTCGCCTTACTTTTTCCTCACCTGGTCATGCACTCCCCTCGCCTCACTCTGTCCTCACCTGGTCACGCACTCCCCCTGCCTCACTCTGTCCTCACCTGGTCACGCACTCCCCTCGCCTCACTCTGTCCTCACCTGGCCACGCACTCCCCTCCCTCACTCTGTCCTCACCTGCTAACCACTGCCTCACTCTGTCCACACCTGGTCACGCACTCCCCTCGCCTCTCTGTCCTCACCTGCTCATGCACTTTCCCTGATTCACTGTCCTCACCTGGTAACGCACTCACCCTGCTTCACTCTGTCCTCACCTAGTCACGCACTCCCCCTGCTTCACTCTGTCCTCACCTGGTCACGGACTCCCCTCGCCTCACTCTGTCCTCACCTGGTCACGCACTCCCCCTGCTTCACTCTGTCCTCACCTGGTCACGCACTCCCCCTGCTTCACTCTGTCCTCACCTGGTCACGCACTCACCCTGCTTCACTGTCCTCACCTGGTCACGCACTCCCCCACCTCACTCTGTCCTCACCTGCTCACGCACTTCCCCTGCTTCACTCTGTCCTCATCTGGTCACGCAACGCCCCTGCTTCACTCTGTCCTCACCTGGTCACGCACTCCCCCTGCCTCACTCTGTCCTCACCTGGTCACGCACTCCCCTCACCTCACTTTTTCCTCACCTGGTCACGCACTCCCCTCGCCTCACTTTTTCCTCACCTGGTCACGCACTCCCCTCGCTTCAATCTGTCCTCACCTGGTCACACACACCCCTCACCTCACTCTGTCCTCACCTGGCCATGCACTCCCCCTGCTTCACTCTGTCCTCACCTGTCCCGCACTCCCTCTGATTCACTATGTCCTCACCTGGTCACACCCTCCCTTCGCCTCACTCTGTCCTCACCTGGTCAGGCATTCCCCCTGCTTCACTCTGTCCTCACCTGGTCACGCACTCCCCTCACCTCACTGTCCTCACCTGGCCATGCACTCCCCCTGCTTCACTCTGTCCTCACCTGGTCACGCACTCACCCACCTCACTCTGTCCTCACCTGGTCACACCCTCCCCTCGCCTCACTCTGTCCTCACCTGGTCAGGCACTCCCCCTGCTTCACTCTGTCCTCACCTGGTCACGCACTCCCCGCCTACTCTGTCCTCACCTGGTCACACTCCCCTCGCCTCACTCTGTCCTCACTTGGTCACACACTCACCCTGATTCACTCTGTCCTCACCTGGTCACGCACTCCCCCTGCCTCACTCTGTCTCACCTGGTCCCACTGCTTCACTTCCTCACCTGGTCCTCACCTCACTCTGTCCTCACCTGGTCACACACTCCCCTCGCCTCATTCTGTCCTCACCTGGTCACACACTCCCCCTGCTTCACTCTGTCCTCACCTGGTCACGCACTCCCCCTGCCTAACTCTGTCCTCACCTGGTCACCACTCACCCTGC